TTTTTTTTTTTTTTTTTTTTTTTTTTTTTTTTTTTTTTTTTTTTTTTTTTTTTTTTTTTTTTCTTAGTTATTTCCCTAAAAGTATTATCTGGTGGTCGTTTACAACAAAGATTAAAATTATCTTCTCTTTCTTCTTCTTTCTTTAATTCTTCTACTCGTACTGCTTTCTTTGGTAAGGGAATTAATTAATTAATTAATTAATTAATTTATTTATTTATTTATTTATTTATTATTTAATAAGGAATAAAATAAGCTATTATATAAGGTATAATATAATATATTATATGTATTATTTATTTATTTTATTCATTTATTTTATTTATTTATTTATTTTATTTATTTATTTTATTTATTTATTTATTTAGTGTATTTATTTATATTTATTTATTTATATTATATCTAATAATGTATAAGTTATACAAAAAAAATAAATAAAAATAAAAAAGTTATGTTTATTTATTTTTATTATTTTTTTTTATTTTTCTCCTTTTTTTTCTTTTTTTTTGCTTTTTTTGTTTATTTATTTAGGTAGTTCTTCTGGTTATTTATTTGTTTATTGTTTTTCTTCTTATTAACCTTTATTTTTATTTAATTAAATTAATTTAATTAATTAATTAATCAGTTTATTTATTTATTTATTTATTTATTTATTTATTTATTTATTTATTTATTTACTTATGTTTATTTATTCAGGTAGCTCCTCTGCTTATTTATTTGTTTATTCTTTTTCTTCTTATAAACCTTTAATTAATTAATTAATTAATTAATTAATTTATTTATTTATTTATTTATGTTTATTTATTCAGGTAGCTCCTCCGGGTATTTATTTATTTATTCTTTTTCTTCTTATAAACCTTTATTTTTATTTAATTATAAATTAAATTCTTCTTATTCAGTAAATATTATTATTAATTATTGCAGGTATATTTATTTATTTATTTATTTATTTATTTATTTATTTATTTATTTTATTTATTTATTTTATTTATTTAGTTGCCTCCTTTTATTATTATGTGTCTCCTTTTATTGTTTGTCTCCTTTTGTTGTCTTTTCTTCTTCTTTCTTGTCTCCTCTTCCTTATTGTCTCTTTTCCTTGTTTATCTCTTTTTTTTCTCTTTTTATTTTTTTTTCTTTCTTTTTTTATTTATTCTTCTTATTATCTCTTCTTTTTCTTGTCTCTTTTTCTTTATTCTTTTTTTTTTCTCCTTTTTTCCTTTATATGTCTTGTCTGGTACTCAAACCCTAAACCCTAAACCCTAAACCCTCGGATGTAAGAAGAGGATAGACTGTCTCTATATAGTGTTTATTGTTTGTTTATTTTTATTTCTTTTGTCTCCTTTTGTCTCCTTTTCTTTGTTTCCTCCCTCCTCTACCGTGTATCTGCTGCTGCAGCAGCAGTGCAGCAGCAGCAGCAGCAGCAGCAAATATTTATTTTGCTGCTGTATCTGCTGTTTGTGTCTCTCTGCTGCTGCAGCGACCTTATAGCTGCCCATGGACCTCACGTGTCTGTGCTGCAGCTGCAGCAGCAGCAGAAGCAGCAGCAGCAGCTTGTTGGGCCAGCTGTGCTGCTGTCTCCTCCTAGCAGCGAGGAGACAGTTAGTTCTTTGCTGCTGCAGGCAGAGAAAAGGAGACTCTTTGTTGGTTACCAGGTATGTCTCTTCTTTTTTATTTATTATTTATTTATTTATTTATTTATTATTTATTTATTTATTTATTTATTTGTTTATTTTTCTTTTGTTTTGCAGTCTTTTATTGCCTTATGGTGTATAAACACCGGGGAATGTCTACTGGCATGGGCAGCACACAACGGAGGTGTACGTTTGCTGCTCCTGCTGCTGCTGCTGCTGCTGTTGCTGCTGGTGGTATTGCTGCTGTTGCTGCTGCTGGTATTGCTGCTGTTGCTGCTCCTCTTGCTGTTGTTATTTCGGCTGTTGTTGTTGCTCTGTTTGCTGCTGCTGTCGGTGTTGCTGCTGCTACTGTTGCGCTTGCTGCCGCTAGGGTTTTGGTGGTGCTGCTGCTGTTTGCTGCTGCTGCTGGTGCTGCTGCTGCTTGTACTGCTGCCGTTGTTGCAACATTGTATCTGCGCAACTGGTTTTAGGGTTCCTCACATCCAGGGTTTAGGGTTTAGGGTTTAGGGTTTAGGGTTTAGGGTTTTCTTTCAGGTTCATCAGCTACTTTCTGAGGATAGCGGTGATTTTATAATAAGTGGAGGAGACAGCGGGACAATCAAGGTAAAACCCTAAACCCTAAACCCTGAACCCTAAACCCTGAACCCTAATATATGAACAAACCCTACTAAACCCTAATAATATTTAGCAAACCCTGCACTCATATAAACCCTAAACCCTAATTTTAGACCTCCATCTTGCAAACCCCTTGTCTTAATGCTGCTGTTCTTCACGTACGCAACTAAGATCTAGGGTTTAGGGTTTAGGGTTTAGGGTTTAGGGTTTAGGGTTTAGGGTTTTGTTTATGGTATAGGTATGGCAGCTGCCTCCTGATTCGTCATTAACTCGTTGGGGTTTGCATACACCGCAAACAGGAGAGGAATTCTTAAAGAATCAGGCAGGATTAGGGTTTATATCTGAGCAGCAGCAGCAGCAGCAGCAGCAGTATGTGCAGCAGCAGCAGCAGCAGCAGCAGCAGCAAGAAGAGGAGGAGGAGGAGCAGCAGCAGCAGCATATGGACTGGGGTGCGGCTTCACGCAGCCGCAATATAAACCCTATCCTGCTGCAGCGCTACAGCAGCAGCTCTGATGACGAGGACACTCCGCAGCAGCAGCAGCAGCAACAGAAGCAGCAGCAGCAACAGCAGGAGCAGCAACAGGAACAACCTCCTATGCTGGTGCCACATGAAGACAGCAGCGATGAGGATTTAGATGATTTACGCAGTGCCTTAGCCTAAACCCTAAACCCCAAACCCTAAACCCTAAACCCTAAACCCTAGACCTGCATAAGGGAGTTGCTATTTAATGCATTTTTGTTTTTCTTTCTTTTAAACAAAAACAATAAAAAGAATTAAAATAAATACAGACAAATAGACAGGAAATAGCTGCAGCAGCAGCAGCAGCAGCAGCAGCAGCAGGAAACAAAAAGGAGAAAGCAACAAAACAAGTAAAGAAAACAAAACAAACATTAATATATATATTCAATGTTTGCAGCAATCTGCTCCTGTACAAGCAGCAACTGCAGCAACTGCAGCAGCAGCCGAAGCAGCAGCTGCAGCAGCAGAATGTGCTGCAGCAACACCCTAGTGCAGCAGCATATGCAGTAGCATTTTCCGCGTTAGCAGCAGTATGTGCTGTTAGCAGCAGCAGCAGCAGCAGCAGATCCAGCAGTTGCTGCTTCTGCTGCAAGTATAAGAAAACCGGTTCTGCTGCTGCTGCTGCTACTACCCCAACTCGTACTGCTGCTACTAGTGTGTATGATGGCAATAATGTGTTGTTGCTGCTGCTGGTGTTCTGCTGCTGTTGCTGCCGCTGCTGGTGCTGCGTGACGGTGCAGCAATTTGCTGCTGCAATTCATCTAATGCTGCTGATGGTGCTAATCGTAAGAAACGTCCTTCTATCTTAGCGGAGGGAAAAGCCCCAAAATGACGAAGAGGCTTCCCTCTTAATGCATGCGCTAGGCATTTCTTATACCTCTCCCTCTTGCTGCAGCAGCAGCTGCTGCTGTTGCTGTTGGTGTAACTATTGCTGGTGCTGCAGCTGGTGCTCGGTGTGCAACAGCTGCTGCAGCCAGCAATTGTGCTGCTGCTGTGCACGCTATGAGGGTTCTTAGTGCTGCCAGGACAGCTGCTGCTGCAGCAACTGCAACTGGTGCTGCTGCTGTTGCTGCTGCTGTTGGAATGGCCGGTGGGGTTGGCGATATGTTGAGTGCAGCAGGAGCAGCAGCAAGAGGAGGAAGAAGCAGCAGGAGTTTCTGTTGCAATTAACTGCAGCAAATAAGGGAAAAAACACAAAGAAAGCGCGATGCAGCAGTTGCTGCTATGTTCTGCTGCTCCCGTTCGCTGCTGCACGTGGCTCCTGCTGCTGCTGCTAGTGATCCTGCTACTATTGCGTCTGCTACTGCTACGGCAACTATTGCTGTTGCTACTGCTGCTATACAGCAGCAACTAAATATACACATTAAAAGATACAGCAGCAGCATCAGCAGCAGGAGCTAAATATGCATATATAGTAACAGCAGCAGCCAAGACTATCGGTATACAACAGGAGCAGTGCAGTGCCTGGTAATGAGCTAAAAAGGAGAAGAAAGAAGACAGCAGCAGGCGCAGCAGCAGCAGCGCCAACAGCAGCAGCAGCACCACCACCACCAACAGCAGCAGCAGCAGCAGTATTATTATACCTGAATAAGTTGTTGTCTATCGTAGTATGGTGGATCAACAAGAGCAACAACATCACGAATAAGTTGTAAAATACATCTTCTTGTTTCGTCATCTTTTGCTGCAGCAGCAAAAGGACTTTTTTTTATTGGTCCTTTTGCTGCTGCTGCTAATTTAGCAAGAGATACCTGACGCACTTTTGTTATCCATATCTTACCTCTTGCATCAGGAAGCAAGGAGAAGCGCAGCAGAGCGAAGCCCTGCTTCGTTTGCTGCTGCTGCTGCTGCTGCTGATGCTGGTCATTTTGATTATGGTGATGGTTCGGCTGATTATACTGCTGCTGCTGCTGCTGTTGCTGGTGACGCTGCTGCTGCTGCAGATTAAGACACAGCAATACCTTTAATATTGCCTCGCAGCTCTTTTGCCATAACCAACTCCAACCTAGAGGAGACATATCTTCTATATGTGTATCATCTTTGCTGCTGCTGCTGCTGCTGCTGATACAGCTGCTTATGCTGTCTCCTCCCGCTTCTGCTGCTAATGCAGCACGTAACTGAGAGAAAGATAGATATGTTGCTGCTGCTGAGCTGCCGCAACATCCTTCAAAAAAACTCTGCTGCTGATCCTCCTCCTCTTGCTGCTGCTGCTGCTGCTGCAGTTTCGTCTTGTCCTCCCGCCTATGAGTATAGGGCGGACTCCCGTCTGCTCTCTCAACAGGTAATGCTGCAGCAGCAGCAATTGCTGCAGCAGCTGCTGCAGCTGCTGCTGCTGCCGTCGGACTTCCTGGTGTAGAATGTCCACCAGCAGATGCAGCAGCAGCAGCAGCAGCAGCAGCAGGAGAAGGAGCAGCAAACTCACTCTCCCATTCTGCTGATGACAGACAATCCGTCAGATAAACAAATTTATTTTGACTCCATCGACTGCAGTTGTAAGGAAATCGGGCCACACGAACCCTCCCCTGAAGCGCAGCAGCAGCAGCAGCAGCAGCAGCAGCAGCGGATGCAGCAGCAGTGCGGCAGCAGAAAATGCGCATGTAAAAGGGGCAGCAGAAGATGCATAGGAGGCAGCTGCACCAGTCAGCGGCAACAACAGCAGCAGCATCAGACGCAGCAGCAGATGCAGCAGCAGATGCAACAGCAGATACAGCAGCAGATGCAGCAGCAGCAAGGGATGTATTTACCTCTCTATATAGAAATGCCTCAAGAGGTGCAAAGGAGAGAACAGCAACAAAGAAAAGAAGGTCAAATTTTCTTTGCTGCAGCAGCAAAGGAGGAGAAATATAACGCTGCAATTCTCCTCCCCTCCAATATATCCTAGCAGCAGGCGTCTGCAGGAGCAGCTTGCTGCTGCTGCTGGTCACAGTACCCGCAGCACCAGCAGCAACAGGAGGGTTCTTCACGACTGCAACACGCATGCAAGGAATAAACTGCTGAAACAGCTGCAGCAAACGACGGACAGAATCACCAGCGCAGGCAGTGGCGGCAGCAGCAGCATTAGCTGCAGCACGAGCAGCAGCAGCAGCAGCAGGAGTTAGGAGACAAAAGGGAATCAAGTGCTGCTGCTTACACCTTCGCCTGTATAACCAAGGTGTCTCCTTCATCCTTCCCCCCTCAAGAGACAGCAACTGCAGCAAGCTGTGTTGTCCTTGGGGTAACGACAGGGTTAACGGCATCACTCTAAGCAGCAGCAGCAGCAGGAGCAGCAGCAGCAGGAGCAGCAACAACAGCAGCAGCAGCAACAGCAGGTGAAGCAGCAGCCCAGCAGATGCAGAAAGTGGAAAGTCAGAAGCAAGTGAAGAAACATCAACAGTAGCAGCAGCAGCAGCAGCACCAGCAGCAGCAGCACTGCAACGAACAACAGCAACGATAGCAGCAGCAGCAGCAGCAGCAGCAGAAGCAGCAGGAGTCACTCTTACCTAAACATATCCCCTAAATGCTCATTCCTGCTGCTAAGTCTGCATAAGGATCGATAAAGAGAAGAAGTTTCTAGTGCCCCACACAAGTTGTCTATGCAGCTGACGCGCTGCAGCCGGAAACCAAGAGTACCCGGGGGCCCCCATGGAGGCCCCCCTGGGGGCCCCCAGGGAGGCCCCCAGGGAGGCCCCAGGGAACCCCTCTGCACCCCCACAGCAGCAGCTTGTGATGCATTATTTCCTACAGCCCTGCTGCTGCTCCTTGTGTTCCTGATAGACGTGCTGGTGCTCCTGCTGCTCCTGCTGCTGCTGTTGTTCTTGTTGTTGCTGTTGTTGCTGTTGCTGCTGCTGCTGCTGCTGCGTCGTGCATGCATGCCATGGGGGAACTCTTGTTGGGCATTTCTTGGCAACCAAGGAGACACAAGAGGACCTGTTGGGGACATCCATATTAAGTTTGCTGTTGCAACTGCAGCAGGAGAAAATACCTGACGCCATTCTCCTGTAGGCAGCAAAGCCCTGCAGCAGCAGCAGCAGCAGCAGCAGCAGAGGAGGCAGCAGCTGCAGCAAGTTGTGGTGCGCATATACAGATTAATATAAAGACAGCTAAACAGACAAATAAAATAAATAAAATAAAAAATAAATATATACATAAAACAAATTAAATAGAAAAACTAAATTAAATTAAATTAAATTAAATTAAATTAATAAATAGAATAAATAGAATAAATAAAATAAATAAAATAAATAAAATAAATAAAATAAATAAAATAAATAAATAAAATTAATAAACAAAACAAATAAAACAACAAAAATAATCAAAAGAAGGAAGGAAGGAAGAGAAGAGCAAGGGGCCAACAAAGCAAAGAAAACAAACCATAAATAAATAAATAAATAAATAAGTAAATAAATAAATAAATAAATAAGGAGATAATATAAGGGGACAAAGTTGTTACTCCCTCAAGATAATTTCTTCCTCCCTGCTGCACCCGACGACAGCAAATGTCCGCTTGTTGTTGCTGCTGCTGCTGCTGCAGCTGTTGCTGCTGCTGCAGCTGTTGCTGCTGCTGTTGCTTCGCTGCTGCTGCAGCAGAGGGTCTGCTGCTTCTTCTTTCTCTGCTGCTCTTAATGCCAGCAGCAGCGCCTTTAGCATGTGCATAGAGTTGGGGTGTACAGACATCCCAACAAGGAAAAGAGGAGAAGGGATAGCAGCAGCAACATCAGCAGCAGCAGCATCAGCATCAGCAGCAGCAGCAGCAAAGGCCGACACCTCAGGCATCCGCTCAATCACATCATATGTCTGCTGCTGTAGCTGCTGCTGCTGTAGCTGCTGCTGCTGCTGCTGCTGTAGCTGCTGCTGCTGCTGTAGCTGTAGCTGCTGCTGCTGCTGCTGCTGCTGCAGTTGACATATTGGACTCTGAGGGTCTATATGAGGTATGACAGAAAGAGAGGCAGCGGGAAAAGGACCCAACAGAGCATACTCTTTGCTGCTGCTGCTGCTGCTGTTGCTGTTGCTGTTGTCACTACCTCTGGGTAAAGGGTCAGAAAACCAACGGCAGAGCTCAAACGGGGAAGCTTGCTGCTGTTGTTGATGCTGCTGCTGCTGTTGGTGCGGCGAGGTAACGTGCTGCCTCGATGCCGTTCCTCCACTGAAAAAATTGGCAGCAGCAGCAGCAGCTGCTGCTGCTGCAGCACCGGCGGCAGCAGCAGCAACAGTTGGATAGGGGGCTGTGTCCTGCTGCAATATGTGCTGCTGGTGCTGCTGTTGCATATGCAGCTCGCTGCTGCCTCCAATTACTTTATTGCAGCTCTCGTGAAGCTTTGCTGCGTCTGCTACTGCTGCTGCTACTGTTGGTTTCGCCGCCGAAGCATCTGCTCCTGCAGCAGCAGCGACAAAAGGCGCTGCTGCAGACGTTGCAGCTGCTAATACACCTCCGGCTGATGCTGCTGTTGCACTTGTATATGCTGGTGAGTTTCCTTCAATAGGAGCAGCAGCAGCAGCAGCAGCAAAAACAGGACTCGAGGGCTCCGTGGGAAAATTTTGGCCTTTTCCAGCTGTTGGTGAGTCTGCTGCTGCATGGGCGGCTGGGTCTGGTGATGCTGTTGCTGCTGCTGCTGCTGCATCTGCTGCTGCACCTTCCAAGACGCCCTCAGCACCACCGCTGTGGGGCATTGCTGCGGGTTGCTGCAGCAGCAAAGGCAAACTTCCAGCAGTGTGGGGTCTCCGTTTTGCTGCATTTCTGGTCCTTAGGGGGTTCCACTGCTGCGTCAGCTGCTTCTGTTGCTGCAGCAATAACTGCTGTTGCTGCAGTTGCTGCAGTTGCTGGCCAGCAGCTGCAGACCAGCAGGCAGCAGCCGCGGCATTAGCAGCTGGTAATGCTATCGGTGCACCTGCTCCAGCACTGGCTGCAGCAACAACAGCATCTATTGAGGCTGCTGCTGCTGTTGCTGCTGCTGCCGTTGCTGCTGCTACTCGCGAGTCCCCAGGAAGCTGTTGGGGGCACACCTTTTGGTGCGCCTCTCCTACCCCTTCAGCAGCAGCACAGGACGCCGATGGCGCTCCTTCATATGGTGCTGCTGCCAAAGCAGCAGCAGGAGAAACTGCAGCAGTAGCAACAACAACATCTGTCTCTCTTTCCCCTGCATCCCGAAGGAGTGGAGACGAATGCTGCTGCTGCTGTTGCTGCTTCTGCTGCTTCTGGGTTTGCTGCGGATTCAAGCAGCGATTTCGGCCACTTGCATCTACAGCTACGGCTGCTGCTGCCGTTGTTGTTGTTGTATTTGCTGCTGCTGTTGCTGCGGCTGCTGCTGCTGCTGCTGAGTAGTTTTTCTCCCTGCCAGTCTTCGAAGAAATCTCAGCACCCTGCAGCAGCGCGTAGACTCGTTCCAAGGAATGTCTTTCTTCATCATCTTCGATGTAGGCAGCAACAGCTGCAGCAGCAGCTTCTGCCTCAGCATCTTTAGCAGCAGCAGCAGCTGCTGCTGCTGCTGAACGGGATGGTGGTGCTCTTGTCTGGTGCTGCAGCACACAGCGGTTTTGCTGTTGTTGCCGCTCCCTCGAGGCTGCTGGTTGTCTGGGGGTAGGTTTTCGTCTCTTGGCAGCTGCACGTGAAGCAGCAGACGGGCGTAATGCTGCTGCTGCTGCTGCTGTTGCTGCTGGTGCACCAACTGAGGCAGCAGCAGATGAAGAAGGAACAGAAACAGAAGCAGAAGAAGAAGAGGAACTAAGCTCTCCTGCTGCTCCTTCCTCGTCATGAAGAGGCAAGTCCCAACTTAAACATCGCACAGCATTCTCAACAGAATTAATTAAAGATTTTGCGCAAGAGCGAATACTAGCATGAGAGGAGCGGCTACTCTTGGGTCTATAACCTGCTACTGCTGCTGTTGTTGGTGGTGGTGGTGGTGGTGCTGCTGCTGTTGCTGTTCCTGCTGCTGCTGGTGTTGCTCCTGATGCTGGTGTTGCACTTGCTGCTGCTGAGGGAGTTGAAAGGCCACTCCCCATACTCGTCAAAGACCTTGGATAAGATATGCGACGAGGCGAAACGGAAGGCAAAGACAGCTGGTGCTGCTGCTGCTGCTGTTGAAGGTGGTGTGTCTGCTGCTGCCTTCGTTGAGGTAACATTTGGCAGGAAGTTGATCGCTGATGGATCTGCTGCTGGTGCTGCTGCTGCTGTGACTGCTGCTGCTGTCCTTTAGGGGAGCGCATTCTGTACGATGTTCTGGATGCCATATTGCTGCTGCCGCTGCAGTTGCTGCAACTGCTGCAGTAGCTGCTGCTGCTGCTGTTTCGTTTTGCATCTCGGGTGAGGCGGCTGCTGTACGCCCGTTGTGCCGCTGCACCGTTTCTGGCGTTGATCCCATTGTTGCCGTTGAGGGCCCCCCTGCTGCTGCTCGGGGGGCCCCTGCTACTGCTGAGTAGCTCCTTGCTCCTGCTGCTGAAAACACCCCTGCTGGTGGAGGCGCCGCTGCTGCTGCAGCTGCGGATGGCCCCACGACCAGGCGATGACAACAGCACAGAGCCTGGAGACGCTGAAAAGCACGCAAACACACTAGGGTTTAGGGTTTAAGGTTTAGGGGTTAGGGTTTAGGATCTAGGGTTTAGGGGCTATATAGGAAGAATATGCAAATATGCATTGATAGGAGGAGCAACAAAACTAAGGCATAATGGGGAATAGATTCAAAATTGTCAATAAAAGGAAAAAAAGGATACAAATTAGGTTTTAGGGTTTAGGGTTTAGACTTGAGGGGGAAGGATATACAACATACAACGAAACAAAATAAAGAAAAACACAAATAGGAAAATGAACAAACAATGCAAAAACAAATACACAAAATAAATAACGAGACAAATGAGTAAACAAACAAATAATAAAGAAACAAACAAACAAACAAATAGTAAATAACTAATATATAAATAAATAAATAAATACCCGTTCCTGTCGATTCTTCAAGAGAAGATCGCCACGCTGAAGGCTCCGCAGCCTTTGGGCTCGCCTCAAAAGTTGCCGCTGTCAAAAACCCTAAACCCTAAACCCTAAGCCCTAAACCCTAGACCCATAACCCTAGATCCTAGACCCTTAAGAATAGCCCGTATGCCTTTAACATCGTACTCGAAGACCTAAACCCCAAAGGGAAAACTCTACATAGTTTAGTGCAACTCGTAACCCCTAAACACTAAACGTAAACCTTAACCCTACCAACCACAAACCCTAAACACTAAACACTAAACCCTAAACCCCAGACGCACCTCTTCTAACGTCAGCAAAGGGAGAAAAAATGCTAGCTTGAGGGCTGACATCGGAGGGAACTGAGGGATAGCGAAAAGGAAGGCGAGGGAGGAAGAACCCAGTTACACCGCTGCCTCCTGCGCAATTGCTGCTGCTGCTGCTGCTGCTGCATTGTCTTGAAGGCAGGGAGTTCCTGGAGCTGCTCTGGTTCTTCGTGATCCTTTTGGCGCTGTTTCGCGGCTTCTTTGACCGTTGCTGCTGCTGCTGCCGCTGCGTCCGCTGTCGTTGCTGCTGCCGTTGTTGTTGCTGCTGCTGCCGCTGATGCGGCATGTGGCGATCGCTTAACAATGGCTTCATTAGCTGCTGATCTTTCCTCAACCTTAATTGGCCACGATTATCAGGTGGGGGCCCCCCAACCCACCTGGACCAGCGGGGGATTTTCGTCTACACCGGCAGCAACAACAACAACAGCGGCAGCAACAGCAGCAGCAACAGCAGCAGCACCAACGGCAGCAGCAGAGAGCGCACCCATATGTTTTGGAACATTTCATATGAATCCTTTTCGGTGAGACAGTCCTCCAACGTAAAGTTGTGTAAAAGTTTGCTGTTTAGGGTTTAGGGTTTAGGGTTTAGGATTTAGGATTTAGGGTTTAGGGTTTACGTATTAGGGCTTAGGGTCTAGGGCTTTGTTTACCTGCCTAGTGGAGTTGACAGTTTTGTTTTGCTGCATGTCGAATGGCTCGCAAGGACCAGCGACCTTAGAGAGAATAGGAAGAGGAGCTCCCTTGTTGCTTCTACTGCTGCTGCCGCTGGGATTGTTGCTGCTGCTGCTGCTCTGGCTGGTGTTGACGTTGCTGGTTGTGTTGCTGCAGTTGTTGCTGGTACTCAAGCTGTTGCCGCTCTGGCTGTTGTTTTGTACAGCGGCATTGTTTCTGTTGTTGTTGCTGCTGCTGGTGCTGTTGCTGCTGCTGCTGTTGCTGCTGCAGCTGTTGTTGCTGCTGTTGCTATTGTTGCACCTACTGCCGCTGCCGCTGCTGCTGCTGGCTGTCAGCTTGTCAACGGCTTTGAGACGCGAGTCGGAGTGTCTCCTTTCTCTTAGCTCCAGCAGCACGAGATTCAGCAGCAGCAGCCGCTGCTGCTCCTGCTGGAAGTCACCTGCTGCACCCTCAGCTGCATTTTGAAGGCCCTCACTTAGCTCCACCAGCTCTTCCGTCTCTGCAACAGCAGCAGCAGCAGCAGCAGCAGAATATACTTTACGCTGTTATCGCTGCGACAGAAGCAAGCTGCACCCGATCTGCTTTTGCTGCTGTCGTTTTGCTGTTGATTTACTTTTGCTGCAGCTGCTGTTACTGTTGCTGCTGTTGCTGCTGTTGCGGTTGTTGCTGCAGTCGCACCCATGTCATAGACGCTACTAGGAGCAGGCAGAGCCTTGGGTTGTGCTGCATTTTTGTTTTTCAAGTCAGCAGCAGCAGCAGCAGCAAGCTCAGGAGAATCAGCAGGATCCTTTGTGCTACATGCTGCATCCAGTGTCGTTGACTGTGACCCAGCAGCAGCAGCACCAGCGACAGCTGCTGTTGCTGCTGCTGCTGCTGCTGGTGCTGCATCGGGATCCTCTGACAAGTCTTGTGGGACTTTCATCGCGAGGAGACAAAAACTTTACTGCAGAAAACTACATTAAAATATTTTATTTTTACTTTGTCTCCTTGCTTCGTCTCTTTTGTTTACTTCTTTCGTTGCGGTGTATACGCAGCTCCTATTGTGGTAATCATTATATTAGTACCTAAACCTCTTCTACTAATAGAATTTTATTTTGCTATCATGTGCATGCATTCTCTATAAGAACGCATCTACTGCGTATTATTTAAAACAGAATAAATATTTATTTCTTCTGTAGTATAAGGACTTTATCTGTTCTCTTGTTTACTCTGGATCTGGGGTTGTCCGTACACCTTCAATACGATGTTGGACACTTGGGGGGCCCAAGGACCAAACCCTAAACCCTAAACCCTAAACCCTAAACAATCCCGGGAACCGTTCGACGCAGACACATGACCGAAGCCCTCCTTCTCTTCGCCTCTCGGAATCGTTTCTAGAGCTGGTTAAGCCTTTTAATATTGAGGGCTTACGGTTTAGGGTCTAGGGTTTAGGGTTTTCGAGTTAGAATTTGGGGCTGGGACATGGGAATTCCGGCAGAGGTGACCTCAAGGCTATGGAGGCCTCCAGGGCAAGTAGCATTGTTCCCCAATAAACCCCAAACCCTAAACCCTAAACGCTAAACTCTAATCCCTAAACCTTAACTGTCCGTATACGAAGGTTCGGTGCAGCGAGCGCGGCAAGGGGGGACTGCTGAAGCCCTAAACCGTAAACCCTAAACACTAAACCCTGAACCCTGAACCCTAAGTCCTCTCCTCAGATTCACTGAAACAAGCCAACATATTCCTGGTGCTGCGATCTATTAAGCCTGGTGCTTTGCTCAGATACACCGCCTCCAAAAAGAGCAGCAGCAGCAGCAGCAGCCAACGGCAGCGACGCTGCTGCTGCCGCTGCCGCTGTTGCTGAAGCAGCAGCAGCTGGTACTTGAGTTGTTAGAATAACAGCACGTATGAGCTCAACATGAGCAGAGTGCATTAAAGGCGAATTTTAATTGTTTTGAGTAGAGTATTCACTGCTGCCGCTGCTGCTGCAGCTGCTGCTGCTGGTGTAACGCTGTCGGCAGCGGTCGGTGGCAGGGCTGTGTTGTTTGGTTTGTGTGTGTTGTTATGGTTTGTTTTTCTTCTCTTTTTCTGCCTTTAACTTTAAATGGAGCCTTTAGAGGGGTTTATTTGCTGCTAATTTTTTGATTTTCCTTCTTCTTTCCGCCTGCACCCTGCCGCGCGGTCTTGGGCGGTGGGCAGAGCCGCGCCGCCGCGAGGGGGGGTTGTTGAAAGTATCGTGTTTTCTCGTTTTCTCTTTTCAGTTTTTGTTTGTTTTGTTTATTTAATTTGTTTAAGGCATTTAAACGACGCATGCAATTCAGACAAACAACCCCCAGCACGCAGACAGACCGCCGCTGCCGCTCCTGCCGCTTCGGTAACAGACCAGCAGCAGGAGGTGCTGCTGCTGCTGCTGCTGCTGCTGCTGCTGCTGCTCCCTCTGTCTTTTTGAGCAATTTACCTTTAATCTCATTACAAGGGTGGAGACATTCGCAGCCAGAAGCAGTGCCACTGGCAGCACACAGCAGCAACACAAACAGCTGCAGCAGCAGCCGCGGCAGCGGCTGCTGCTGTCGCAGACACTACAGCGGCCGAAGACCCGAAGTCGCAGCAGTGACAGCAGCAGCAGTCAAAGCAGGAGTAGCAGGGGACATTTAGGTAATATCCGGGCCATCAGCAACAACAGCTGCACCAGCTCCAACACCACTACCAGCATCAGCAGCACCAACACCAGCACCAGCGGCGGCAGCAGCAGCAGCACCCTACGACCCTTCAAGATATACGGCGGGCGAAGAAATGCCCTCGTCTCAGGGGGCCATAAGGGCCCCCAACATGCTCAACAGCAGCAACAACAGATGCAGCAGCAACAGCCGCAGCAGCAGCAGCGTGCGCAGCAACAGCAAAAGCAGCAGCAGTAGCAGCAGCAACTCAACGGAGCTAGAGGGAGTCCGTCTTGTGGGCATTTCCTCATCAGAGAAAATCTTAAGCAGCTCTTGGCCAAAGAACAAATGGAGTTGGATAAGAGACTCCTGCAGCAGCAAATGCACCAGCAGCAGCAGCAAATGTATCACCAACAGCAACATCTGCTGCAGCAGCACGAATGAGGCCACTGAAGAGCTTGTGAGGAGGCATTCCTTCCCTGGAGCGTCTGGAACCAGCGGCAGCAGCTCCTCAGCAGCTGCAGTAGCAGCAACAGCGGATGGTGCAGCAGCGGGAATCTGCTGCTGGTACTGCAGCAACCAAAGTAAGAACCCTTTGTTATGCTACAGCTACCGCAACAGAGCAACAGCTGCAACAGCAGCAAACACCAGCAGTCGCAGCAGCAACATGTTATCTGTTGCAAGCACTCCTGCCCACAGCAGCAGCAGCAGCATTAACACCCCCCGCAGCACGTCGGAGATCCATGGCAAAGAAGAAGCACTGCAGCACCAACAGCAGCGGCAGCAGAGTCAACCGCAGCAGCAACGGCAAGATAGCGATTATCAGCAGCTGCTGCTGCTGCATCCTGGGGGGCAGCAGCAGCAAGCGCAGCAACAGCAGCAACTGCAACAGCCGCAACAGCCTTTCCAGCTTGTAGTTGCAAAGGAAGTGACAGATAGCAGCGGCGTCGCAGCCTCAGAACCTAGAGAGCAGCAGCAGTCATGCTACCAGCAACAGCAAGCTGCTGCAAATACTGTCGTTTCTGTTGAGGTGGAGGAGCCTCCCCAAAGGGAGGATGACGGTCAGCAGCAGCAGCAAGAGCAACAGCAGCAGCAACTACAGCAGGGGCATCAGGAATACCAGCAGCAAGTGCAGCACCAGGAACACCAAGAACAGCAGCAGAAGCAGCAGGAACAGCAGCAGCAAGAGCAACAGAAGCAGCAAGAGCAGCAGCAGCAAGAGCAGCAGCAAGAGAAACATCAGATACAAGCGCTGCAGCCACTAGAGACGCAGAATCAACAAGAACTGAAGGAAGCCCAGGCAACTTCAGCCAGCCAAGAGGAACCAACAGCCGAAGCAGCAGCAGTAGAAGAAACAACAGCAACAACAGTAGAGGCAGATGTATCAACGGAGGAAACTGTTGCGACAGCATTAACAGCCTCTCCTGCTGCAACAGCTGCTAGCACTATCGCTGCTGCAGTACCTGCTGCAGTACCTGCTGCAGCAAGCTGTCCGTCCGATCCTGTCTTCGAACCCTCTATAGGGGCAGTGTCTCCTTACAGCAGCAGAGACAACACCCCCACGTCTGTTTCTTTTTGTCTCGCTGACGAAAACTGCTGCACTGCAGCAGCATCTCCAGAGGTAGGTGTGCAGCAGCTGACAGTAGCCACTGCTGCTGCTGGAACACCTGCTGCTGCCACTGCACCTGCTGCTGCTGCCGCTGCACCCCATGAAATGCACAAGAGACACATACACCAAGGAGACAGCAAGTACAAGGAAATCCTCATTGAAACAGCACACAACGAGCAGCAGCAGCAGCCAGAGCACCAGGAGCAGCTACAGGCAGATCAGAAGCAGCAGCAGCACCCCGGCCAGCCCTTATCGCTCTTGTCCCATTTGTGCGAAGAAGCAGCAGCAGCATCATTCTCTGCAGCAGAGGAGCAGCAGCTGCTTCTGCAGTTCGAGGAGGCTATAGGCTGCCGTGGACGCTCCGCCAGCGCAGCAGCAGCAGAGGCGCCAACAGCAGCACGAGGAGCAGCAGTTTCTGGAACAGCAGCAGAATCACTAGCACCAGCACGGAGACAAGCAGCAAGAACAACAGTAGTAGCGGCCGACGAAGCACCACTAACTACAAATGTTATAGACCTGTCTGCTGTTGGGCAGCAGCAGCAGCAGCAGCCGGACAATGTCACTTTGCTGAGTGCTCCAGCAGCAGCACCAGCTATAGGAACTGGTGCTAATTGCTCTGTGACTAAGCAGAGACAACTAATACAGAAGATGAGGGAGGGCCTATCGGCACTACAGCAGCAGCAGCTGCAGCAGCTCATTGAGGAAGAGGAGCAGCTGCTGCTCCTGAGGAAGGAGAAGATGGCAATCCTTGCTGAACTGGAAGATGACTCAAACACGCACAGCAGCAGCAGCAGCAGCAACAACAACAACAACAACAACAGCAACAACGGCAGAAGCAGCAGCAGCAGCAGCGCCACCAGCAGCAGCAGCAGCAGCATGGATATGACGTTTCCGATGAATGTGCTGAACAGCAGCGAGGCAGCATTTGCAGACGTACAACTTGTCCTTAGGTGGGTTGCGAAATCTAAACCCTAAACCCTACACACTAAACCCTAAACCCTAATTTGTGAATGAGGGGAGATAAGCCTCATTCTTGCTTGCTGCAATTTGTTTGTGCTGGCATTTGCCAATATTTACCCTGAAGTTTATCTATTCTCTTGCTGTTGCTGCTGCTGCCTGCAGAGCCAACAGTGCCCAGGCTGCACCCGCCTTAGCAGCAGCAGCACTGCAGCGGCAACAACAGCAGCAACGGCGGCAGCAGCAAAGTAGTAAAGAAAAGTATGGAGTGGGGGACATGGCACTTTCTGCTGCTGCCTTCTTTAGTATATCTGTCGCTCTGCAGCGGACAGATGCATACCGCCAGCAACAGCCACAGCAGAAACAACAGCAGCAGCAGAGAGAGCTGCCACTGGGGGGCGTCGCTGCTGCACTGCAGCGTGTGTGCGTCTCGGAGCAGACTCTTGAGGACTCTTTGCTGCTGCTACGAGCAGCAGCAGCAGCAAACCCTCGTGATGCTGCTGCACTGATGATGCTTGCTGCTGTTGCTTTGTACACTCGCGACTACCGGGAGGCAGAAATCAGATTTGAGCAGTTGCTGCTGGCGCTGCAGCCACTGCTCACCAACAGCAGCAGTAGCAGAAGCAGCAGGAGCACAGAGAGCATTCCTGCAGCAGCAGCAGTTGCTGAAGCAGCAGCAGAAGGCAAGCCCCTGCTGCTCAGGCCGCCACACTTGCTACCTGCTGCGCTGCTGTGTGGAGAAGATGCAACGGCACTTTTTTCCTGCTTTAGGGAGGCGCAGCATGCGTCACCTTTGCTTGTCTGGCCAACGGCAGTAGCAACAAGTGCAACAGTAGACGCCGAAACCCAGAAGCAGCACCAGTTACGGGAGGCTGCCGTCGTAGCTTCATCTCTTGAGTGAGTATGCAATGCGCATCTGCAACTAATGATCCTTTGCTGCAACTGCCCATCACGTTGCTGCTGCTGCTATTGCTGTTTCTTCTGCTGTTGCTGCATTTAGCCTAAAGTACAGCAGGCTGAAGCAATGTCACCCGCGTTGCTGCTGTTGCTGCTGTTTCTGCTGCTGCTGCTGTGTTTAGCCTAAAAGACAGCAAGCTAAAGTAATGTGTCTGGACCAAGGGGTAAATTCTTACACAACGGTGTCTGTCTCTTTTGCCCTACAGATGGTTTTGCTGCAAGAGTTTGGGTCGCCTCGCTCTCGCCTTTGCTGCTGCTGCGGCAGCCAAAGGCCATCTGCAGCGTGCGCTTGCTGCAGCAGCAGCTGCTGCAGCGACAGAAGCTGCAGATGATTCATTGTGGGCACTGTATGCGCACATGCTGCTCAAGCTGAGGCAGGAGGCTGCTGCTGCTCTCGCGCTACAGCTAGCCCTGGCAGCGGCTACCCGCCGCAGCAGCAGCGCCAGCAGCAGTAGCACCAGCGGAAGCGCCCGCAGGCTCGGGAAGACAGACATGTTAGGTAAACTGCTGCGTACTTCATGCGATCCGAAAGACGCAGTTGCTGCTGCACTTGCTGCTGCTGCTGCTGGTTCAGCAACAAAACACAATCCGGGTGGAGCGACTAGCAAAGAAGCAGCAGCAGCAAGTGCTGCTGCTGCAGCGTCTCTACACTGCAAGGCCCTGACAAGCGCAGCCCTCAACCTCGTGATATCGGCACCACTGCCTTCCTTGCTTAGGAGGGATCGACGTAGTCCTGCTGCTCTTGCTGCTGCTGCTGCTGCTGGCGCTGCTGTTGCTTCTGGCTGCAGCAGCGATGAATCTCTTATTGCACGTTGGCAGCACATGCAGGCGGAGGTGTTTACGTGCCACGCACAGAGGCTGCTCCAGCAGTCCAGTGCTCAACAAACGGCAGCAGCAGCAGCGACAGCAGCAGCAAGGCAGCAGGCACTAGCTTTACTGGCGGATGCGGGGAGGCTGTGCGACAAGCTGCTGCTGCAGCGGCACCTGCCCCTCCGGACTCTTGCTGCTGCCATGTCTGTCAAATCCTTTGTTTATCTCCTCAGCAGCAACAGCAGCAGCAGCAAAGAAGAGGCTCTGAAGGCAGCAAGAGCAGCCGTACGGCTCTCACCCGATATGCAGAGTCAGACTCGATTGGGTTTGGCTCTGCTTTGCTGCTGCAACAACACAGAAGCCATGGCTGTGCTGCTGGGTGCGCTGCAGCGGCGGCGAGCTGCGTATACACCTGAGCTCACGGGTTGTGCTGCAGCATATCTGGCCGCTGCCGCCGCACGAGAACGGGATCGGTTGCTGCTTCAGCAGTCTTCTTGCTGCGGCCAAACCCCAGCCCTGCTGCAGCAACTAATCTCTGTGTCTCTACACTCCGCCGTACTGCACCTGCCGCAACTGCGCGACTTGCTGCAAAGTGCATGCAACAACAGCAGCGTCAGTAAACAAGAAGGAACGGCTCTGCTAGGTTTGAGCTGTCTCCCGCTTGTCGAGCCAATAGCAACGGAACTGTGGGGACTGCTGCAACAGGAGCAGCAGCAGCGCAGCAACAGCAACAGCAGCAGCACCAACGGCTGGAGTGGCGACGCAGAAGGCCGGTCTGCAAAGGACCTTCTATCTGCAGTTTCTTGTCTGGGGGAAACCGTCAAGGCAGCAATGGCAGCAGCAGAAGTAGCGGAAGCAGCAGAATCAGCATCAGGCGCAGCAGCAGAGGCCGCCTCTGCTGGAAAGGTTGCTGCAGCTGCAATGCCGAGCCAGCGCGTGCTGAGAATTCCTCAGAAAGAAGTTGCGGCAGCAGCTCCGTATTTCGCTGCCTCCCCAAAACCGCAGCAGCAGCAGCAACAGCGGCGGCTGGCGGAGCAGGAGCGGTCACTGAGAGGGGTGCAGCCAAAGTCCCCTCAGCGTTTGCTGCCGATCCTCAACTCGCATGCATCGGCTTCTCGCTCCGTTGCTGCTGAGGCCAGCCAGACTGCAACAGCAGCAGCTGCTGCTGCTGCTGCATTGCAGGGGGCACCAGAAGCAACAGCGTCAGAAGCAGAACTAACGGCCCTGCGCCTCCTTAAGGACTGTCAATCGCCTGAAGGCTTTCCAGCAGGGGAGCAGCAAACTTGCAGCACAGCAGCAACAGCCACAGCAGGGAGCACTGTTGCTGCAGCAACAGAAGTATCAAAACCTGCTGCTGCATCTGCTGTGGGCCATCCTCACAACAGCAAGGAATCGTACACACGCATCACTGAACCATCAACACAGCGGCCGCTAGACTTTCAGCAGCACCAGCAGCAGCGGCTACAGCAGCAGCTGCTGCAACATCAACGACCTCAGCAGCAACACCTGCAACAGCAACACTTGCAGCAGCAAAAGCTTCAGCACCAGCGGCTGCTGCAGCAACAGATTCAGCAGCAACAACTGCAGCATCAACAACTGGATCTGAAGGGGCAGGATGACCACACGCAGCAGAAGGGGCAGGAGAATCATGTACAACAGCAACTGCAGCTGCAGAAGGAACGGCAGCGCCAGCAACAGCACCTACTGCAACAGCAGCAGTTGCTGCAGGGGCAGCTGCAGGTGCAGGCGCAGCAAGTACAACGGCAGCAGCTGGTTCAGCAATTAAATGCGCACCCCGACTCAAATTTGCCTCGACTCAGGAGCACGGAGGCAGCTGCTGTGCCTGCTGCTGCTGTTGCAGCAGGCACCAGCCAACAGCTAGCATGTGCTGCTGCGGCGCCGCTCGCAGTGCCAAGGTCAGGAGCAGAAGCTGCTGGACCTCCAACAAGTCACGTAGGAGTGCCTGCAGCATCAGCAGCAGCTGGTCTTGCTGCAACACCTGCTGCTGCTGCTGCTGTACACCTCGGAGAAGGAGCTACAGACGCTTCTCCCAGGAAACAACTTTCTTCCCTCCCGCACCCGCAGCAGCAGCAGCAGCAGCAGTGGCGCAAGCAGTCTCAGCAGAAGCAGCAGCAGCAACACAAGTGGCATCAGTGGGACAGTTCTTTCCTCTCCTATCGATTCACTACGACTACTAGCAGCAGCAGCAGCAGTAGCAACGCCCCGAGCTTCGTAGTACAGGGGGTGTGTACACCCGAGCGGCAGTCGACGCAGCCACAGCCCTCCTGGTTGCAGCCGCCGCAGCAGGAGACTCCGCAGCACCAGCAGCAGCAACAGCAGCAGCAACAGCAGATGCTACTGATGGGGTCACTGACGACTAATCCTTTGCAGCAACAATTGCCACAGCAGCCAGAGCAGCACCGCCAACACGTGGTGCCGCAGCAACCACCACAGCAACAGCACCAGCAACAACAGCAGCAACAGCAGCAGTTACTTGCTGCACTCGTGCAGCAGCAAGGCACCCGTGTTATTAAGGCGGCCGCTGGGACACACCAGGAGGAGCTGCTGCTGCAGCAAGAGCGGCAACAGCAGCTGCTGCTGCAACAGCTAGAGAAGCAGCAGCTGCTGCTACAGCAATTACCGAAAACTGGGGAGCGCGTCAGCTGCCTGCTGAAGCACCCGCCCACTGCTCCTATGCAGCGGCAGCAGCAGCAGATACGGCAGCAGCAACTCCGACTGCAGCAGCAGCAGCTTCAGGTGCAACACCAACTGCAGCGGCAGCGACTGCAGCAGCAGCACCGAGTCCAGCATGCTTTTCAGCAGCAAAATGGGCAGCAGAGTCAGCACCAACAACAGCATTACCAACGTCTACTGTACCAGCCAGCTATGGTGCGGCCTGTAGGAGCCCTGCTGCCTGTTGCTGCAGTTGCTCCAGCAGCAGCAGCAGTGAACTATGCTGCAGTGGGCACGCCTGTGCGGGTTATCAATGCAACGGCGGGTCAGCCGTCTGCAAGCGTGATCCCAGTGCTTGCAGCAGCGCCGGTAGCAACAGGAACAGGAGCAGGCCAAGCAGCGGCAACAGCAGAAGCCGAAGCAGAAGCAGAGAAGGCCATTTTGCAGCAACTGCTGCAAGGGTTACAGCAGTTTCCGCCTCTCTTCCCCAAACAAATGTTGAGGTGTCTGTTTGAGATAGGGAGGGGTGGGTTCTCTCGTGTGTGGGTTGCTGAGCTGCTGGTGCAGCAGCAACGTGTTGCTGCTGCTGGTGGTGGCGTTGCTGGACCCCGTTGGTTGCCCGTTGCGCTGAAGTGCATGCGGGTGTCTCCGTCGCTTCAGCCCGAAGCAACTGCAGCAGCAGCAAACGCTCTTGGTGCTGAGGAGGAGACTGTTTCTCTCCAGGAGCTGCAGCAAGAAGTGCAGCAGCTACAGAGCCTCGACCACCCATGCATAGTCAAGCTGCTTGGAGTGTGTCTGCTCTCCAGAAGCAGCGACAGGCAGCAGCAGCAGCAGCGGCAGGCGCCTCAGCAGCAGAAGCAGCAACGACACTACCGTGTCGCTCTTGTCATGGAACTGTGCAGCGGTAAGGCTAGCTACTAAACAGCGGGGTCGGCATTCAGCTATTCTTGGGCTGTGATGATACATATGTTCTGGGGTGTACTGGCAGGTCGAGTGCGGTGCACAGGCAGGTTGCAGGGCATTATCTGCAGCTGGTGCATTTTATTAAAACATCTCGCTGCTATCTTCCTGTGCAGCACGGTCTCCTGAAAGCTCAAGAACCCCTGTTTCATCTGCTGGTGCGTGGGTGGTGATGGTGCTGCTTTTGTGTGGGTACGCAGGAGGTAGTCTGTACTGGCTGCTGCACGAGCAGCGAGCTCCGCTGTTGCTGCGGCAACGGCTGGCGATTGCTCTGCATTTTGTGGCTGCCTTGCAGTATCTGCATTGCAGGCCTATTCCCATCGTACACAGAGATATCAAGTCCCTCAACATTGTGGTGAGCAAAGAAGCCGCTAATGTTGTCGCTGTTGATTCTACTCATTCTGCTGCTGCCTCCCCTGTTGCTGCTGTTCGTGCTTCTGCTTTTCCTTTTGCTTTTGCTGCTGCCTCCAATGGATGAAGCGAAGGCCGAAACAGAAGCAACACAACACCCCCAGTAGCTAAACCCTGAAGCACAAACCACAACCTACCAAAGCAGAGCAAAGCAAAACAGACCGAACTTCTCACTGAAGTTATCCTTGTTCTGCTAAATCCTGTCTTCTCTGTGGTTAGCTGGACGCAGCAGGAAACGCCAAACTGTGCGACTTCGGCCTAGCTGCGGAGGCGGATCTGCCAAGTGCTACAGCCGGCAGCAGCAGCAGCAGCCGCAGCCTCACAGCTTCAATGCGTCTCATTCTCCCCAAAGAGCCTCTGCAGCCAGCGGGATCTCCCCGCTATATGCCCCCAGAACTGGCGGCCGGAGGTTCGTCCTTAACGACACGAGAAGTTTCCGCTAGCAGAGAGCAGGAGACAGATAATCGAGATGACAGAATGCACCTAGCTGAGACCAGTCTTGGCAGCTAGCTTAGATAGGAAGATGCAGCCAGCTTGGATCAGAAGATACAGCTAATTGGGACTGGAGAACGCAAGTAGTTGAGACCAGAAGTTTGCAACTAGCTGAAACCAGAAGAATGGAGCTAGCTGAAACCTGAGTATGCGGCAGAGCTGCACAGCAACGGAGTTAGCGAGAGAGGTAGACAGGAAGCCATCGACCCAGCTGGGTCCACGGCCACCGCTTTGCCAGCTAGCTGTCAACGTAGCAAAGGCACGGGCTAGTTTGCGTGCTACCAGGACCGCTATGCCTATCTCGAATGCTAGTGAGGATGCATGCGGCATCTAGGGAGCTAGCTAGCACTGATGTATGTGAGGCTAGCTGGGTGACTAGTTAGCTAGCTGCGTTCTGCGGGGTTGGCGGGTTGTATGCGCAGTGGCGACGCATTTGGATCCTTCTCTGGACATTTGGTCCGCTGCATGTGTTTTGTTGGAGTTATTTGGGGGCCCGTTGCCTTACCATTGCTGTCAGACGTTTGAAGAAATACAAAAACAGCATGCAGACAGAGTGGTGAGTCATCTCTACCAGCTTCCTCGCAGCAGCTGCTGCTGCAGCACTGGGAGTAGCAGCTGCAACGGATGCAGTATCAGGGCCCTTGCTTGTCTGCGGTCTGTTGGTCGGGATACTTCAGTATTGGCTTTCTACGGGGGTTCATAAACCACTGCATCCTTTAGTTTGTGCATTTACGTACTTTTACTGCCTGCTTTTGCTGCGTCGCAGCTAAGATGATGTTACATTTGTCTGTTGCAACCGTTTTGCTTGTCCTGCATCTGGTAGTTTTTTCTTACATACACCATTAATTGTGCAAAGTTTATGTGCTTTTATGTGCAGCTCCCCACATTCCCTCCTAATCTACCGCTTCCTTTGGAGCAGCTGCTGCGCGCGTGTCTCGCCTTCGATCCTAAACGCCGGCCTTCAGCTAGCCAGGTGATTCATTAGGAGCTTTTTTTCCCTTCTGATTTTGTGCATTAAAATCGAGCTTTGCACCGACATACTGCAGTACAAACAGACTTCGAAATCAAGCACGTCATGCAACCCCACACTTAAATGTGCAGATTGCAAGACACAGAGCAAACACCATTTCGGAAAGGTGCAACTATAATGAATGCCCCTCTGAGGAGTGTCTAAAGAAGAGGCACCTCCGGAGGAGTGTACGCATTACATTCCGCCCTTGTACATAAATAGAAGTACAGACACTTGTAAATGAATGAAAGAACGTATATGTATTTTTACGATCAATCAAAATATGTACTTGTACGTGCACGTTTTGAATGCGCATGTAGGTATGCACAGAGGTAACTCCCGGTGCACGCTACTATTCGTTGTCTTAGAAGCGAGAGGTTCTCTCTAACTTTGAATTAAATTATTAATTAATTGGCATACTATTACCCATCATCCAGCTGATTGATTGGTTTGTTAATGGCAATTGCCGCATATCTATGTGAGTTTGTCATAGGCTGTTGTGTGTATATGCGCTGTGTAATTGTGTGACTCAGATGCTGGAACAGCTCAGGTCGCTTCCCCTTTAGGTCTTGTGCTATTTTTGCCTTCGTTTTGCTTCAAACAGACAAGCTATATACTGTATAAAAGCTTTCCTGCGGCTCCCCTGGTTGCCCCCCGTACTTCTGTTTGTGTGAACAGACGCATCTTTAAGTGCATATTTAAATAGATTTATGTGGTCATATACGCATCTACTTGTCAACCGCCGGGACAGAGTGCAGCTTTTGCCCGCTCTCCTCCGCTGCACGGTCTTGTCATGGGGATGAGTAAAGAAATGAACTTTTGTTCGAACCTCTCCATGCGCGTACATATGTGCAAAATATATGTAATATACATATGCATGCGCATGGAGAATTTCGAACGAAAATTCCCTTCCGTACTCATACATTCATGTATATATATGGATAGATATATACATACATATAAAGATAGGGCACACATATATGCACATCATATATATATATATATATATATATATATATATATA